TTAATTCTTGAAGAAATTCTTGTAAGCATCTTACATATATTAATGCTATTAAGGTAGATTTGTGGATATTATCGTAAATACTGTTCTTATTTATAAATAAAATGTTTTTGTGGTTAAATAAAATTGCAAAAAAGTTGCTCTTGTTCTTTTAAGTAGGTGTGAAGCTAGTTAAATGGATTTTAGAAATTCTAGTAGTAGCATTAAGCAGCGGCGTAGCTAGAATTTTGAGAGAAGCTGCTGAATTATTGAAAATGTCTAGCTTGACAAAGTTTTGAGCTTCCCTTTCAGCTACACCACTGCCACTAAGTAAATGAAATCATGAAACCACTTTCTTTAGAAATTCTTGATCGAATTTTGTTATTTATACTCTATCTGGTACCTTACTCAACCAGAATATTCGGTGTGTGGGAGTTAAAAAAAAATAATTTCAAATGCTTTCCTGTCTGTTAAGTCAATTTCGAGCTGCCTACGTGCCATTAAGAATAAAGATATTTTCATCAAATTGTGAAACTCGATAAACAAAAATTCTTAGTAAAGAAATTCATAATAAATTTGATTCGCAAAAATCAGAATGCGAGTTAGGTGATTTATTTAACAACTGAGCTTTAAGCTGCTATCAAAAGTCAATGCTTGCAGCATTTTCATTATACTTAGTATTATAAAATTTATAAAGGTACTTTAAAATGTTTTTATTGATAAATAATTGACAAGATTCAAAACAAGATCATTATTTGGTAAATATTTCTAGCTACGTTCCAGAATAGGAATGTAATTTGATTGTGACTGCTTATAGCTCAGTGGCCAGAGCACATAACCCAATAACATTGACACGGGTTCAAGTCCTGGTCTAGACTCATTATGTAAAAAAACTCATTTTCTGTTAATTTGTCGTCAACAAATGGGTTAGGGGCTGGTCACTTATCATGTAACGCAAAAAATCTTTTTGGACCCCCCCCCCTTTACAAATAATTTCAGACCCCTCTTCCCTTAAAAACGTTACGAAATTAGTAAACGGCCTTTTACCAGCTTCTTGGTGTTTCAATAAAGCAGAGTTTCTCAAACTTTTTTTGAAACACGGAATGTTTTATACATCAAAAATTTCGCGGCACACCTTAATAGTCTCACGGCACACGAAATGATTTTCATGACCTTTTTGAAGTCATAAATCATTGCACACTAGTGTGACGCGGCACTTAGTTTGAACACCACTGCAATATAGGAATCCTAAAATTTTAACTACATAGAAAAGTTGTGAAAGTTGTACAATTTTCAGATAAATGGCAAGGCCCTTGACAGAAACTTCTCTCATAACCTAGAAATGTCGAAATATTCTGAAAATTAAATTCCTCTTTCAATCACATAAAACAGTTTTAATCACATTCCATTAAGTTTATTGTACAGCCATCTGATCCAATTCTACCTTCCGAAATTCAATGCAATTTAATTAGTTTGAACTTCAATTAATCACACAAAAAGTTTTTCATTGCGAAAATCCAACACGTTCTCAAATTTCCCATTCACCACAGATACAAAATGTAGCAAAATTTTTGTTTGCACAATTCCTTTGAATAGTTGTTGCCTAGAGCCTTGCATGCAATATTCATGAAAGTTTTAATTAAATATTTTTTCGATGAATGAAGCTCAATTTTGAAACTTTTCGTATAAACTCTTCAAATAAATCATATTAATTAAGGTCTTACAATATTTTGTTGAACTTTTGTTTCTGTTTGACGAAAAACTTTCTATTTTCGGCACGCAATTCCTTAAAAAAGCTATTTATTTATGTCGCTTGAAAAGTTCACAATTGTCTTCAGAGTCTACTCATGATGAATGATTAATTGCTTTCTCTTTAATGCCATCTAAATTTGAATCAATAATTAGAATGTGATATATAACAAGCGTTCAACATGTTGTCTATAAATTAATACCTTTATAATCTCATATTAAATGAATTACACTAATAAATTGATGTGGAAGTGTTCAATTTATCACTGCCTACACATTTGTTATTGAATGAAATTTACTCAAGATTTTTTTTTTAAGATTATCTTAATTGAAAGGTTTTGATCTATCTGTGGATTAGTTATAAATGAAAATTTTATAGGAAATGCTAGTTTACAGACATTTTGTGAATTTTTTGGAGTCTAACCTATAAAATTGATTAGATTAAGAGTCTTTTGACAGTAAATGATACCTTAATAAATTAAAATATTGATTGATATGCACTCCTGACTAGTTTGATTATCTGATTGATTTTTAAAGAACTGTCATCTAATGTTGGACTCATTTGTTCTTAAAATCAGTCAATTTTTCAAGAACTATAGTCAAACACAGAGCTCGAAGTCGTTAGGGTTCGAGTCGACTCGAGTTGTCTCAACTTTTCTCTAGTAGACTTGGAGTTGACTCAGAAAATTGACTCGAGTTAACTCGCATTGACTTCAAGCTCTGGCACTCAAAATTCGTAAGATTAAATTTAAATATTTGATTTTTCGAGAAGCAACTGGTCAACATAGTCTTGACGCTAGTTTCTCTGGCTACCCATGAAAATCCTTCCAATAGTTTTCATAAAGTCCATATAGTCGTACATAGAATTTCATTCCTGCCCTAGAAAATCAACCATTGACTCCTAAGAACCAATAAGCTAGCTCTAAGCACATTCACTTTCATGAATTTACTAATAAAGTGTGCTAATGATCTTTGGATGGAGGTACCTTAAATACTTAAGTCAAACCGATTTTTTTTCGGATCAACTCAAGTTGAATTCGTATTTCGAGTGGATTTGAAGTTGATTTAAGTTAAATTGATTTCGAGTTTTTGAGTCGAGTTGAGTCGACTTTAGCTTTGATTTATTCTAGATTCCATGATTCCATCAATTCCTTTGATTGTGCGAAAACACCAGCACTTTGAAAAATTTGTCTCAAAAAGTATCGACCAAATTTAATAAATGTCCAATTATAATCTTCATTTACTTAAAATTCAATCCCAAAAAATTGAATTCAAATTTAAATTAAAATTAAATTGCCACCGTCAATTCAAAGTTATCTTTTAACAGGACAATTGTCATTCACCAATATTAATTAACATCTGCATTTGATATCCAATCAAGCATGCTAATTTAACTTTCACGTACGGCATGTGATATAAATTTGAATTAATTGGGTGCCAAGTTTTAAATTACTTTGTTACGAACTTGTATTAATTAACAAACTTGCTCGCTATCAATTGTGAAAATCTGCTTTGAGCTTCGCATGAAGGAGGAAGAATAGAATTTTTTTATAATGCGCTTTTGTGATTTTTGTGAATGATTTGAAGAGTTGTTGAGGAAAAATAGTTGGTTGACTAGTTCACGAATTTATTGTTCACTGTTAATGAAGAGCATAAAAGAGCATTTACAGGATGAAGTGAAATTCAAAAACAATGCAATTTCATGATCAATTTTTTTTGAACAATCATAAAAAGTGAAAAATTAAAAATGCATAACATTATTGAATAAGGATTCTGAATAAAACTCCATTCAAATTAATTCAAAACTCAACAAAAAAATGAATTCAATTGCTCTCTTACTAGTTTTGCCATTTTTAAACACTTTTTTCTACAAAAAGTCCTTAAAAAAATATTCATAGTCTCCAACAAAGCGAGATTTTATAGAAAATGCGAATTAAGAATGATTTATTATTTATTCATGAATTGCTTTTAAAAAGTTCTTTTTCAAAAATCCCAATTTATTTCGTATTGAAATAAAAACTACAAAAATTCAAGCTGCCTTCTCGGAAATTTAAATGATTTTTTTTTTCATTTCCCAAAAAGCTTTTTATGAGCTTTTATTGAATTTTTATGAGCATTTTTCCATGCAAAAGAATTATTAAAATTTTATGATTATTTTAAAATTTAAATTCATAAAAATAATTTGCATATTTTTCAATTTTCAGTCTCATCAGCAGAGCAGGAAGCCCCTGAAGTGGTAATTATCACGAATCTCCTTTTTGTTTGTTAAAATAATAATCAAACTTTGTTGTTAATGAGCTCAAAGCTCGAGACTGAAATGTTTTCAAACAAAAACTTTATGAACCGTTTATAAAAAACATTGGAGATTGTGATTCAATAGATTATACTTTGCAGACTTTATTGAGGACATTTACAGAGAATTTTATTACGTAGTGAATGAAATGATTTTTATAACTTGAGTTTTGATTAATTCTGTTGTTTGTTTAGACTGTAGAGTTAGGAAATGTGATTTTTGAAAGTTTGTGGATCTGAATGCACACCAAACAAGAATTGATCTTGGTTTCCAATTATTGGTATTCAATTCTTTTGGTTCTTAGTTCTTGGTTTGTGGTTCTTGGTTCTTGATTCTTGGTTCTCGGTTTTTGATTTTTGGTTTTTGGTTCTTGGTTCTTGGTTCTTGATTCTTGATTATTGGTTCTTGGTTCTTGGTTCTTGGTTCCTGGTTCCTGGTTCCTGGTTCCTGGTTCTTGGTTCCTGGTTCCTGGTTCTTGGTTCCTGGTTCTTGGTTCTTGGTTCTTGGTTTTAGGTTCCTGGATCTTGGTTTTTGAATGAATGAACCGCGATGTAATCATCAGAATCATATCCAAGAACCTTTATATTCCTTTATAAATGTGGTATATGTATGAAAAAGATGCTGATTTAAACATATCAAGAAACATTCTTGTGTCCCTCACTCCTCAGACATCAGCCTTTTTATATTTTTGTTACTTCAAATTTACTCAAAACTTCAACTTCAAGATTAAAAAAGTAATCAAAATTCATCCCCAAAGTCAATATTCATCTCACTCTTAATTTCAAATAACGAAGTTCATAAATTTTATGAAAATTCATCTTACAAGTCACGAGAATAAACAGAATAAATAAATGACTGCATATTAAATAAAGTAAGAAGTCCCTCAAGAAAATTTTCATCAAGTGTCATTTTTCATTAGGCATCAAGAAAGAGAGACACAGACACACAAAAAACAAAGATGAATGAAAATATTGCAACTTACAGCTCTATCGCCAAGGTTCCTAACTTTACAATGAAGAATTGCTGTCTGTCCAATTGTCACGGTTATGTCGCGCTTCGTTGTATTGTCGAAATATGGCTGGGAAAGATTTTCATCCCAATATGATGCTTGTGTATCACCGCCACTTGTGTTTATTATCACTGTAATAAATTAAATTTCATCAGAATGAAATTGTTGGTTTGGATTTTTGATGAAGACAGAGAGGTAAGAGAGATTGGTTGGTGGGTAAAGTGGAGAGGAAGTGGTTCTGAGGTGGTAGCCAATGGGATTTTTGGAATTTTTGGTTTTTAATTCGTTTTGTATTTGTAAAAAAAATAGAAATTTGAAAAAAAAAGCTTAAAAAATCTCAAAATAATTTTAATTTTTTTTTCAACAAAAATTTTATCTTTTTTTGATTTTAAAATTTCAAAAATTTTAGATTTAAAATTTTTAAAAATTCAAGTTTTAAACATTTAAGTTTATAAAACAAAACTTTTTAAAATTAAAATGATAAAATTTAAAAAATGTAAATGAAATTCAAAACCTTAAAAAATTATAAAAAACTTAAAAATTATAAAAAAATTTAAAAATTTGATATAAAATTCCAAACCTTAAAAAAATATAAAACTTAAAAAAAATTTAAAAAAAAATTCCGAAGAATTCAAAAAACCAAAAAATTTTAAAACACTTTAAAAAATCCATTGGCTCCTTCACTTCAAACAATAAAAGAGCTAGTAAAATTATGAAATAGTTCTCATCTTACCGATCACAATGAAAAGAAAAAAGTAAATTTGCATAACTGGCACTTCCATATGAAGGATCTTCATCTTCTCTCCTATTTTTTAGAATGAATATTTACTAGAAAAAAAAGGTTTTTTTTCTTCTCTTTTTTGTGTTTTGTTATTTCACGGGAAAAAAAGGAAAATTTGCTGCCTTTTTCCTCTCTTATCGATTTTCCTCGTTCGTTATCTTTTCCTTCACATTCTTCTTTTGTGTTCCTCGTGAAAATATCTACGTTAAAATTCACTCGAAACGAGAATGGAATTTTCTAATTAAGATCCAAGACTAAAAAATACTTCATTTATTCACTGAGCACCAAAATTGAGTATTTTTTTTTTGTCTTAACTTTTGAATTTTTCTTTTATCCTTTGCAGCAAGAGCTTTATTGAGATACTCTTATCAGCATCATCTTAGTTCACTTTTATCCAATTTAATGATTGCACTATCTCATCTCGTGTAATTATTCCTTTTTTTTATCTCATAAAACTTTTAACATTTAATCGATATTTTTTTTGTGCCTTCCTTTTGGTTCACCACTCACATACGAAAAAAAATGTTTTGTTATTTCTTCTTTTTTTTCTATTTTCAGATATAATATTATGCACTACACATAGCAAGGAAATCGCTTGGCTTTTTCGGCCTTCTTGAAAAGAATTTATAACATGGAAAGACTATGTATATGTGTGTATCTATGCGGAATTTCCTGTTTTTCTATTTTTATATTTTTTTTTTTGTTGCCAATATTAAATACACAATATATAGCACTACTGACTGTTAGTGTTGAGCAGTTACTAAGTTAGCTCTCTATATCTGTAAGAATGTCGCATAAAAAATACAATGAAGATAGGTAATTTTGTAGGCTAGTTTTTATTCTAGACTACCTGTTTATTACGAGTTTTTATCCTTGGAAAGGTTTTGGAAAGGATATACATTCATGGGATTGTTGTGAGTTTTGGGATAAAATTTTAATTTTTTGAGTAATTTTAATATTAATTTCTCTTTGTTAAAAGTGTTTGAAGTAGTCTTATAATTTTAGTGACCAATTTCGTAATTGTTCGTTATCTGGCAAGGATATTAGCATATGGCCATACACATATGAATGTGTTAATGCTGCTATGAAGAGTTTTTTCTGGATTCTTGAAGCTTGCGGATTTATTTAGTCGAATGGATCTTGGAAAGAGATTTAAGGCCAATCTTACCCGAATAGCACAAGTCGGTGAATCGATCAAAAATCCGGCAGCAAGCCAGTATGACTCTGGCATAATGCTAGATTTAAATTGAATCCAACATTATGTCTAGGTCATGCCAGCTTTGCACCGGATTACTGATCATTTAACCGACTTGTGCTATTCGGGTTAGGTTCATACATATGCTTACTTTTCAACTTAACCAACACTTCATGCTGTCTCACTTCTGCTTAAAAGTTCTCTAGATAATTGATTTTTGAATTGTCAGCAACAAAAAGAGCAGTTAAAAGATTTAAACAGTTACAACTCTAAATGACAAAGACGTATCCAGTTAAAGAGAAAACAACCAAATTTGGGGGGGAGGGGGGGTATTTTTAGAATTTTTTTCGTAAAAACTCCAGCAAAATGGAGAATGGCTTAAGAAATGTTAAGATTCTCCAAAAAGACATTTAAGAACGTTGACTAAAAGATCACACAATGGTTCGTCGCTGCACCTCCGTCCCCAAAAATTCACAATTATTCATATACGACCCTTAAGTAGGCTGACCATCTGCATGGTTTTTCAGAGGACAATCCTCTATTTTCTTCAAAAATAAAATAGTTTTGTTTCAATTCGTCCAGAAAACGAAAAAATGAGCAGTCACGTTTGATGTCCTCTATTTTACTTTCAGGTCCTTTTTTCAAAAAGGTATGGTCATCCTACCTCAAAGAAACCCAAAAGTCAAGAAAATTTCAAAATTAACGGTCAAAAATCTCATTACAATCGCAGCACATGACTCAGCAAAAAATCATGTCAATTGCTGCAAAAAAATCATTTAAAAATCATGTCAATTGCTGGAAAAAAATTGTTTAAAAATCAGGTCAATAAAAAACGATATAATTAATCCATTAAAGAATCCAACAATTATCATAAAACTGATTGTTTCCGTATTTTACCCAAAACAATTGGTCTGTAAAATTGTTTATATCAAAAATCAATTAAAATGTATCTCTTTGTTGAAACGTTTTTGATGTTTGAATGAATGACTGAATAATTAAATTTATGAGTAATTTTTAAAGCCAATTGAATTGGAATAAATATTTTTTTCATCATAATCCTGAGGTATGAGTTTGAAAAAGCATCACTTGAATTTAATTTAATTAATTTTTTTTTGATAATTTATCATGGTCGTGAAAAAAGGGATCCAAACTGTCAGTAAGTGCTGACATTCCGAAAAAAAATAATTGATTTTGAGCAAGTTTGTGAATTTAAATTTATTCGTGAATAAATTTTGAATTGAGATAATAATCTGAAATAATTATGAAATTGATTATCAGGCTTGTGTGAGTGAAAATTAAATTTATGAATAATTTTTGTGATTTTTGATGATGATGGAATGGACGATTGGGGATGTTATTATGAGTTCAGTAAAGATTGACATAACTGAATATAAGCGAATTTTAATTAGTCCATTTTTGGATATGAATTTCTGAATTGATTGGGAAGTTGAATCTGTGAATTGGATAAGCATAAAAAGAATTCTCGGTAAAGATGGAATAAGGGTTCTACAATAATGCTAAAGGTCTGCCAGTAATGGAACGATTCGATAACACGATAGGATCTTTCAAGTCGCAGTGAATCAAGCTAGCTTTTCACTATCGATTGAATTCTAAAGTTAACCTAGCCAAAGTTAAAATGTTATCTTACCCCAGGTCTAATAAACTGTCCATAGTTTTTTGTAATAAAAGTATCTGAAGAACCACAATTTACAAGCAATAAATCTCCTTAAGAATATTTCATAGCAGTCTTAATCAGAATTGAAAGATTTGAAAAATAAAAATTTGTATTTTCGAAAGCTATGTAGGTTGCTGTCTCGTTCTCAGGTTTTTCGGGACTGACATCAAAAAATTTAAACGCTCGTATTTTAAAGTTTTCAAATTTTTTGAAACAAAATTTAATTTCAAATTAGGATTTTCATCATTCATACACAAAAATCTTTCATTGACACATAAGATATTCAAATTGAAATTTTTTGTCCCAATCCCGGAAATTACGAGAAACCGGGATATTGGGAAACCCTTTATCAAATGGCTAATTTAAATAGAACTAACACGAATAGTACAAGTCGGTTAGTCAAATAGAAATCTAGCACCAAAGTGACATAACTCTAGCATGGAGCTGGATTCAATTTAAGTCCAACACCATGATAGAGTCACGAGGACTTGGTGCTGGATCGGGTAAGACTTGCTATTCGGGTAAGTCGAATTTAAAAACTTATATTTTGAAATTTTATCATATTCACACAAAATTTTCAATTTTTGTGAATATATTTAATATTTTAATTTTTCTAATCATTTAAGATTTTTAAATTTTTTTTTTAAAAAAATGTTAAAAATCTTAAATCTTAAAAAATATATTAAACAAATAAGCATGTCAGAAACCTTCTTAAAATGCCTCGCTTAAATGACGTAACTTCAACCTCAATTTTAAGGAAAGTTTATCAAAACATTTCCACACAAAACAAGACAAAACTTTGCCTGATCTAAAATAACAATCGACATGCTCTTCTCAGAATCTTTCACCAATTTATCCAGAAGGCAATTAATTTAACATGACCAATATTTTACAACAAAAAAAAATTCTCAGAACTCTCCATGTGCCCAAACACAACAATATCGGATGAAAAACCTTTCCAAGGGTATAATTTCGAACTAGTTTTCACTTTACAACTTAGAAGCTCTTACTTACACATATTTATAGCATCAAACTTTGCTTCCAATCCAAACTCTATTATTAAATTCTCAAATTTCACTTTCCAACCTTTCTTTTATTATTATACACATTTATAGCCAAACTTATTCAGACCTTATCAGTTTCACTTTGAATGAAATGTAAATTAAAGAGCACTTTTCGCCATTTCCATTTATGCATTAATTTATATATCCAAACGTCTTTACAAATTACACAACAGCCAACATTTTCTTATCAAAACGAACGTAAATTAAGTCGGTACGGCGAGAAGAAGTAACTGATTCATAATTAATACCGCACTAGCACTTTACTTCTTCTCAATACACGTCTCCTGTGTTGATTTATTTAATACCTTTTTTTGCCTTGCTTTTGTACAGCAATAATAAAAGAAACATAAAAGCACTTGTGCCTCAATCACATTAGGCAATTTTTTCACACAATTTTCATTTTCTTAAAAATGATAAAAAAATTATTTATTTTAGGCGGAGCAGTCGATCCGATTGCTGCTAACCTTGTAAATTATTTTACTATACTGTGATGTTGAAATAAAATCAGTTGAATAATTTTTTTAAGGGTATTGCTGACTGTGAGGATGAAATTTTATTTTTGTGAGAGGAGAGAATTTTTTGTCCATTTTCTCTTTTGAGAGGATTTTGAGTCCTGAGAGTCTCTAGACATTTTTGTTGCTCACGCGTCTGCTGTGTTGCTGCAATATCGCATGCAATGTGTTGAGGGGAAATTGAGGGGAAAATGCGCGCGCAGAATTTTTTCATAAATTTTTCGTTTATTTTCATTCAATTTATGATAAAAAATTACACATTATTGCATTATGCACAAGACGTATTTTTTTTGCTCATTGACGCTCATTTTTTGTTGCTCTCCTTAATTCCTCTCAGCACCAAACTTCCTCATTCTGATAATATTTTTTTTTTCATTTTCTTTACAGTACATTTATCGTCAAATACACGATTTTATAACATGTATCATGAACAACAACATAACCATTTGTAAAGTACAAAGTATAGCATGGAGATGTGTAACGATTAGATGAAGGGGAATGAGAGAGAAAAAAGGGAATATTAAGGCTCTGATTTAGTGGCATATTCAATGGCATGAGGCAGTATAATGACTTTTAATTTGTTAAAAGCCTTCAAGCTTCAGCATCATATGAGCGTGTGATATTGTAGCCAAATATATAATATAAGATTAAGTTTGGAGGATTGAGAAGGATGAAACGGAAGGAAAGATGAATATAAAATACAATAGAATTTGTTGATTCCCTTGGAAGCTTTATTTTGAGAATTTATAAGATGATAATGAGGTCTAGACTTGTTTAATATTTTTGAAAATTATAATGAGGGTTTGTAGTTTGTTTAAGAACCTAGTCGAGTCTAGATTGTCAAGTCTAGGTTGGAATTCAATTTTTCAACATATATTGACGCATATATTAAGTCTACTTCCACAGATTGATAATTCCAAGATAGCATAAGTCGGCTAATCGATAAGACTAATCTGATACCAAGCTGTTGTGACTCTCGCTAGAGTCTTGCCTTTGGATTTCTGATCGATTAACCAACTTGTGCTTTCCCAGAGGATAGCGAGAGGCTCCTGGAAATGAGGGGAATTAGGGTCAATTTCCAATAATAATAATAATTTGAGAGGATTTCAGCTAAGCGATGTGTTACTACACGGTTCGACAAGCTGGAGACACTGCGATCCTGATCGATGATAGAATCTATTGTACTAACCAAAGATTAATGGGAGTTTACTCCTCAATTCCGAACATCTAGGTATAAGACACAGTAAGTTGCAACCTCTTTTGCTTTCACCTAGCTATGCCATTTATTAAGACTAGCAATGCTTAATTTGATTTCCACAAATTTTTAAAACTTACTTCCAGCTGAAATTACAATTCTGATTAATAAATTTTGAACAAGAATCGAACCTACGTCTGTTGAGTTTAATTCACAGCACTTTACCATGAAGACAATCTTTCATTACAAAGAAGATGGCATAACAACAATAAACCTAACCCAAATCATCCAAAAAGTACCAATCAACCAGAAATCTGCCAGAGTTCCTCCAAAGGAACCACACAAAAAATAATTTTTCTGTTATTTCATGATGACGATCATTCTAATGACGACAAATTTCATTCTCTATAGCTCATATCAACATAACCATTGTGTACGTACCACATACAACTGTGACTGATATCAGATCAATAATGAGAGAGAAGCAATGCCATTATCATGATGATGACGATGGTCGGAAAATAATTTTTGTTTATGTGATACGAGGAGATATTCATATGGGAGGTACACTGTAATTTTGAATGTAAATTGGACTGTTAGTCGAGTTGAATATGTTGGCAGAAGAAAAAACAATAAGTTTGGATGATTGGAATTTGAGTTTCTCTGAATGAGGAGGGTTTTGGCTCTTTGTCATTGAAAAACGTATGGGATGTACAATGCACACACACAAAAAAAATAAAGTTTTTTTTTTATCAGATTAAATTGATGTAGGGACAATTTATTGGCAACATCAATGATTAGATGATTTTTCAGTGGAGATGGAAATTTTAGGGATGCTTAAAAATACAAAAGTTTGGGATTTTAATTAGTTGAGGAATGATGGAGGAAATAATTGGATTAAAAATTGTCTGAACTACCTATGTATGTTGAACTCTGATTAATGTTTGCTGTTGAAGAATCTTTAAGGCATGTCTCAAAGGAATCAATGAGTCTTGTTTATTGAAGGAACAATGGCAAACATGAGGCACAATGTAAGATTATTATGAAATGTATGAGGTTATGTTGGAATTTTGGCGCATTTTGAAATCAAAGAACTCGAAATCACAATTCGGTTAACCGAATGTGAGTCTGGCATTTTTTTTTGAGTACAGCTCCATGCCAGAGTCACACCAGCTTAATGCCTGATTTGTATTCAATTAACCTACTTGCGATTTTCAAGGGAGAGAACCATTAAAAGATCTGGAGGTATTCAAGGGGTTAATAAGGTTTTTGTGGTTCCTAAGCATAGCACCTTTAATGATAAAACTAAAGATACAGTTCAGAATAGAAAAGAATTCAAGTTTTTTTTTCATTTTTTAATTGCACTTTATTGCATTTATTGACGACATACTGTCCGGAAGTTAGCTTTCTGACAAGATTCTAGAAACCCCCAATAGCTCATTGTTTAGAGCATGTTATCGGAAGTAGAAAGAACGCGTGTTCGAATCTTACTAGAACCAAGTTGATGTGATATTAATTTATTTCGGCTCAGTATTCAATATTAAGAACTTTAATTGACAAAATCAAGTTTAAAGACTAAACAACCGGTAATCGTCTTCAACTCCTCTCAAAATTGGACTTCATTTATTTATTAATGACACAATAATTTGAGGTTTATACATAAATTTAAAAATTCAAGTCCTAATCACTTGAAACCCTAACGCATAAGTCCCCTCTTCCTTCCCACTTGTTTGAACTTAGCAAGTTTTAAACAACCCCCCAAAATTGGCACCTAGACAAAACCCAATCAAAGTCAACACACATCCAAATTCCTCAAAAAAACACACTCACACACAAAAATGCCAACTCTCCATCTCAAACACACAATCCACAAAAGCCTTAACATTTTTTGCTGACATTCTTGTTAGTAAGCATCCCCATTCTCCCAAACCAATCATAATAACCTCGTCTTCAACATTCAATTGTGGATTCTATTCCTACATATCCATTTGTTCCACAACATGTTTTCACTTAATCATCATATTTAGAATGTTTTTTGTGATATAATTATTATCATTCATTTCCATCTCACAATCGAATTCACATAACGATGATGAATATGAATTCATATAGGAATGAGAAGAAGAAGAATGACGATGTATGTAAATAATTTTTTTTTTCACTTCTTCCTCATCCAATTCGTTGCCGTACATAATTTTACTGCCTTTATTGTAGCTTGAAAAAAAAAAGCGAAAAAGAATAGAACAGCAGATGATTAATGGCTTATTATCTAAATGCGTAACGAGTCAGCCCATTAAAATTAATTAATGTGATTCCCATATCATTATTACATCCATAAATATATCTTGCGCTTTTGTGCTGAGCGAGCACAATTGACAAAACGCGAAACTTTAAATATCAAAAACAAAGAAACGAAATGAAATGAAAAAGAGAGAATTGTGGTTAATTGTGGCAAGTCATGAGCTTCCTTGGGGGCTTTTAAGGAGGAAATGTGGGAGAATATGAGCTTTTTGTTGGTTTTTGTCTACGAATGGGAAGTGTATTGTATCTAGCATACACAATGTTAATGCTGTATTTACCTTTTTTGATGCTATACGATTCCTAATGCAACCGAGCAGCATAAATGAGAGAAATCTTCTTTTTTGCACTGAAGCTACAATTCTGATCTCAACAAAAGCTATTTCATGTCTTTGCGAGAGATCCTAGATAGGGAACCACTGAAGACCCTAGAAACCCAACTCCAGTATCCCACCAACCCCAAAATTCATCCCTAGGCCATAAAATCCCTCGGAAGTTTTGTTTTAAACATAATTTTTATGTAATTCCCATTTTTTCGCTTTCATCATATCCATTCACATTATTTTTTTTAAGTGAGCATTGTCATGTGAACAAAAAGACAGCGAAAGTTGCATGCATATGTGTTGTAAATTATTTCACAATGTTGAGCTGAATTATGTTACCCAGCATAAAAATTACAGTAAAGCACATACGACAAATATAAAAAGCAAGAGCATGTTCTATAAATATCTGCATTTGTCGTACGCTGATGTCGTTGATTATAGCGGAAAATTATTAATTTCTATATGTTCAGCTCTTCCAGAATCAATGCATAATGAACACATTACATCCATAATAATAAATTTTCACAAAGAGCCGAACTTGGAAGCAATAAAAGTGCTTGTTATGCATTCATAATTTTCATCTGATTTTAATGAAACATCGTCAGCGTAACCAATAAGCTGCAACATCGGTAACAGTAGTAATATTCAAGTTTAAATCAAAAGTGACGCTCTAACATGGATGATGGTATGACAGTAAAGGGAGAAGTAATAATAAAATTTATAAGCAAATGCTGCTCATCAAATATCAAAGTTTTGCTGAATGAAAGCTTTGCTGCTGGATTTGAAAGAGAAATTTATAATGCATGGCATATAACTTTTATCATCAAATGCAGCAATTTTCATAAAATGCATAAGATGTGCTGGTTTTAAAGGGAATTTTTGAATAGTGAGATAGGATCAATCAAGCTGAATGTCTTTTGAGTCAAAAATTTCAATTTCGAAAGTAAAACATTTTGATTTCGAAAGTAAATTTTTTTCAATTTCGAAAGTCAAAATTTAAAGTTTCAAAAG